CCCCAGCAGCAGAGGGAAGCCGTAAGCCAAGGCTTCGCTGATCACAGCTGAAGGGGCGCGGGTTTTGAGCTTCCCAGCAGGCGTTTGTGCAGCGCCCGGTTTCTGTTTGCTTCCAGGGGCTCTTCCAGGATAGAGGAAGCATGCGACATCTACGCCCGAGCAGCAAACATGTTCAAAATGGCCAAAAACTGGAGCGGTACGTACGAGCGCGGCCGCGAGCCGTTGCCCCGGGCTGGGAGCGCAGTCTCCTGGCCGCCCCCAGGGAGGAGCGAACCCCTCCGGGTCTGAAAGCCGGCGCAGGCTCGATGCCGCTGGTTTATTTTAGCTCGATTTTGCGCGGGGTAACCTGCCTGCGCCCAGCTTTTCCACCCCACCTCTCCGAAACGGTTCAGACGAGGCTCCTGAGCTTTCCCTCTCCTCCTCCAGCCGCAGGGAATGCCTTTTGCCAGGCGGCGCAGCTCCACCTGCAGCTGCAGAGCAAGCACGACGCAGCCACCAACTTCGTGGACGCGGGCAATGCCTTCAAGAAAGCTGACCCGCAAGGTAAGGGCTCGATTTCCCTCCGGCGCCGGGGATCGTTCAGCCTCCCGAGCTGCGGTGGGAGGCGCGAGCACGCGTAAAACGCCCCGATTTCGGTTACCAGAGGCCGCGCGTCGTGCGTATCCGCTGGGTTTTCGCCCGTTACGCAAGGGTTTCTCCTGGGTGTGTGTTATCCCATCCTCTCCACACCTTTGGGAGCGAGCCGAAATGCTGTGGGCTGGATTTGACGTGCTTCCCCGAGCTGCGAGTCGCTCCGGTAGCTGACGGCAGGCAAAGTTCACCTCCGCAGCCAGCGTGCCTGCCGGCTGACGTCGGTTCGCCCCCCCTCCGCGGGAATCCCTGTGCCGAGCCTGACTCGGAGCATATGGCTTCAGCTGAAGCCGCAGAAGGGGTTTGGTGGTGATTCACACGCCGTGCGTGGATCCCGCTTGGTTTGGCTCCCTTCGCTCCAGCGTTAAAGCAGCTCCCGGGCTGCTGGGAGCCGAGCCGGCGGGGGACGTTCCGGGGCCGATGGGCCAAGCTGAGATGAAACGCTCCTCCTTCTCGACGGCTGGCATTTCAGCCGGCTTCGGTGGGACGGGCAACGAGCTAGGGCGTCCTGCGTCTTCCCCCACGGGCGACTCGGATCCTAGCTCTCTTCCACGTCGTTTGGAGCGCAGGAGGGGAGAATAGCGGTGGGAGGCGACGAGCGTGGAGCGTTGGGTTTAGGGTGCCAAGAGGGGAAGGAGCGCGAGAGTCGGTCTCGCTTTCCTTGCGTTCACCCGCGCCGCGGGGGACCGCTCGGCTGCTCCCGGCGAGCTGCCGGGCTCCTGCTGCCCCCGGGTTATCTGCGCCGGATCAGTTTGGGTCATTTTCAGAGAAGATAATGAAGTAACCTGAGGAGAAAACAAATTTAATCTCGTGGAGGATTTGCTTAATCTCCCGGAGACTGATGTTCCGATTATCCGCTCGCGCTGCACTCAACCTGTGTTTTCCTCTCTCGGGTGGCTGTGCGAGCCGGTGTGCTGAAACGCGCCCGCTCCCCCCGCCCCGGCGCGTTGTGGCTTTCGGGAAACCAGAGGGGGAAGGCGGAGGCTGAGCCTGCCTCTTCCTAATGGGGTAAAAACCTGGAATACACGGGAATTCCCTGTGGCGGGGATGGGTCTGTGCTAGACAGAGCCGTCCGTTGGGTGAGGTGTCCAACGGGGATGGCTGGAGGGGCCAGGATGCAGACACAACCCCGCGGGTGAGCTTGTGGAGAGAAAAACGTGGCTGAATACCACCGCGTGTCCACCGCTGCCTCTTCTCGGTGAACCGACCCCGTCCTCGGAGCTGGTTGAGGGTCCTGCAGCCGCCTTTACCCCAGCGGCGCCGGAGAGCGGCGTTCCTGCCCTCAGAGCCCAGCGCCCGCGCCGGCGTGGTCCCTTGGCATCCAGCCCCGCTCCCTTCTCTTCCCCCTCGCTGCCCGCGCCGTGAACCGCCGTCCCACGTAGCCGGGGCTGGGTGCCGTACGGCGAAGACGCGGCTGTGACAGCCGTCAGTCAGATGGCAGCTCCTCGGCTGCTCGGCTCCCTGGTAGGGAGCGCTGCAAGCCTGACAGCTGGGAGCAGTCAGAAAAAGATCCGTCTCCTGGAGCCTGGCATTTAGCTGCAGCAGAGTTCCTCCCACGCCTCTTCGGAGACAGCGAGGGGAAGGCGCCTCCTCCTGAAATACGGCGAAACGCTGCGGCTTCGGCCCCCCTGTCCTGCGCCGTGCGGGCCTGGCCGTGGCGGAGCTGGGCGCTCCTCCGAGTGTGTCTCCCTTTGGAAGGGCTGAAACGTGGCAGTGGGGGCCAGGTCGGAGTCGGCGCCGGGTTAAATCCTGCCCCGGGGTCTGGGGAGAGGCGGCGGGGGGCTCCCGGCTCGGCTCTGCGGGGCAGGAGAGGGGCTGCGGAGCTGCTGCTGGGGCTCGTCCCTTCGCAGGGACGGCACCCAAACATCTGAGGGGGTCTGCATCTCAAACGCCCTGCGCCCCAAACAGAGGCCTTTTGTTCTGGGAAACAAACGCCTGACTCGCGAGCGGCTCTGGGTTCTGCTTTCCGCTACCCGCCTGCTCCAGGGACCTGAGGAGACGCAGCCTGGTCCCCTCCCCGGCTCCCCTCTGCCCCGGGGCACGGCGCACCGCGAGTAGGGCTGCGCTGGAAGCGGAGCGGCAACAGCTCCTCGGCACCCGGCGAGCTCGGAGGCTGCCTAAACCGCTCCGCGTGCCCCTCGGCCTCGGATAACTCCCGTCCGCGGCAGCGTTGGGGCTTGCAACGTGTAGAAAAGCAGGTCTTGGCGTGGGTGGTCTGTGGTCAGGGACCTCTGGCGCGGCAAGGCGTCCGTTTGCCTGGTGCGAACCGGCTGGCTCTTGGCCGTCAGCTGCCGAACGCCGGGGCACGGGGACACGACGGTGCCAACAGAGAGAGTCTTTGATTTGCTCTGCCGGTCGCTGTCGCCGCTCGCGTGCTCTAAATTTCCCTCGAAGCCTGTAGCCTCCGCAGCTTTTCTTGAGCGGCTATTGATTTTTGAGCGTGCTATAAATACAGCTCCGTCGCTTCGGGGAGGCTGGGAGCGGGAGGGAGGGGTGGCAAACGGC